TATGTGTATATACACATATATATACATATGCATGTATGTATGTGTGTCTGTTTCTGTGTTCATATTTATATATGTAGAACCTGCGTACAGGCAAGGAGACAAAAGTACATACATCCATGCATCCATGCATACATGCATGCCTGCCTACAGGCTTTGGACATTGTCGCCTATTTCCATTTATGCACACATACATGCATGCATGCATACATACATATGTTATATATATATATACACATGTATATAAGCGCCATTCATTCGTTGCTTCATTCATGCAGGCAGTCAGTCAGCCGTTCAGCCATTCGGCCAGTCCTCCAGTTAGTCATTCGCTCATTCAGGCGTTCAGTCATTTAGTCCGTCAGTCAGTCAGTCAGTCAGTCAGTCAGTCAGTCGGCCCGTCAGTCAGTCATTGATAAGTTGATTCATTGATTGATTGACTGATTGACTGACTGATTGATTGATTTGTTTATCTCTTGGATACATATTGGTATTCACCGGGGTCAGGTCACTTCGGTGCCCATGCGCTCCGCACGTGTCTGGCTTCCGGCTCCGTCCGTTCACTCACTTCTAGGCAGCTCAGTGGCTCATGCAAGAAGCAAGAGTGATGAAGGCCGTCCCAGCGGAAACCCGCATCGCTGAATCCTGAAGCTAAAGTAGACCCAAGCATAGCGATGGTAATCAGCTTTCATAGCGAGCCGTCCACTGCTTGGAGTGGAAGCAGCTGTCATCCGGCATTCCGTGCAGGACTTTTTGAGGAATGTCTGTTGAAGGCAGCTATAGGGGCGTTGTATTATTTTCTAAATGAACTTCGTCTTTGCTCCCCACGACACGCGTCGAAACATGGGCTGCTTGCTCCCCATGGAATGCTGGCGGTGACCGGGTTTGGATTGGAAACATGTGCAACTCACGAGGCTGACGTTTAATAGGTACGATGACTCAGTCTCTGTTGTAGCAATTCGTTGCGAGTTAGCGGACGTGGTGTGCTCGAATTCACGTCCTCATGATGACACTGGTCTGATCCATACAGCAGAGAAAATGGTTTGATGAGGAATTCCTGTCGGCCGAGAAGGAGGGGAGACTGCAGGAAGCGGTGGCGAGGGCCCTGCAGCGGAAGGCATGGCTCGGGCCCGGTCAGTTTCATCACCGCAATTCGATTCACGCGTTGCTTCCTCGGCGGTTCATGTGTTCTCGGCGGTTCATTTTTGAGAAGCTGTGAGGGAGAGGCCGGTCAACCCTGAAGGTCAGCTCGTTTGAGACTGCTGCGTGGCTGCGGCAGTTCAAGCATTCAGGCCAGGAGGTCTTTGGAATTCTTTGGAATGGCAGAAAGCTTCGTTGGGAGCTCGCGGCTTGATGTATTGAGCGCTGACAGCCCGCTGCAGCGGCCAGCCATAGTCCTATCAAGGCCGAAGTCACTTCAATAAGCGACGCTTGAACCGTGACAAGTCCATCCAACTCCTCTGGCTTTCTTCCACCACAGGGCGCTGGGACCTGGCTTTGGCCGTCCTTGCGGCTTTGCGCCGCTGCAGGTGTGTCTGTGGCCGCTTTCAGCAACCAAGCATGCATAGCGAGCAGATGGGACAGTGCATGTGCAAAAAGGATCGACAACTCGCCCTCGCTTCCGATGGGTTTGGGCGGTAATGGCAATCTTCTCACTCAGGACTCAGAACGTGTTGAGGTGAAAGGCATCCCCATCAGCATGGTTCGGACAGGTGTATTGTCTGTGAGGCTGAGCATTTTTCTCATAGTGTCAGGGTTACATTCTCGCAGTGGCGTCTCGGAGTCTCGGGTTGAGGTGCTGCAAGTGTGAAAGCGTCGCTGCACGAGATGTGTACTTGCGGAACCAAGGTATGCGGCTGCCCTGTCAGTGTGCTCGAAGGCCATAAACACGTGATTCGATGTCATGCCTTTGGACGGGTGCTTCAAGCAAGGGAGCACGCAGGTTAGGACAGAAGTATGCTGCATGGAAATGGCTGCATAGTGCAAGCAGGGAGTTCTTTGTGCGCGGGAGGCTGCAGTCCGTGCTTGCCGCGGCACTGGCTCAGGATAGGATGCGTGTGAATCGAAGAATGTAGAGCGGTACCGGCTTGATGTTGAATTGCGATGGGCTCGGTCTCGAGCACTCAGACATATGTGGTTCAGGTCTATCCTCAGATCGAAGTGGAGGCCGAGCGAGCTCCGATCTCCTTCTCGTAAGTCAATAAGCCCTCCGGGAGGGGTCGGGGCTTGTCGGAGAGTACAGGTGACTGAGGGCTGAATCTGCAACCATGCCCCTTGTCGTCGGGGCATCACGAAGCAGCGTAGCGTCGTGTTGCGTTTTGGAGCTGTCATTGCAGGAACATGCAAGCACACAGCACCAGGAATTGTTAGCGAAGTGGCACGTGCTAGTTTTATTCAATCATCACCATCGTCCTCGTCGTCGTCCTTCACATCATCATCATCATCATCATCATCATCATCGTCGTCGAACTTGGCGAAAGCCTATCCTGCCAAAGGCGCAGGCGCAGCCTCATGAGCTTATGGTGTCTGAGGACTCGAGCATGCAGGACTCTAACGTTATCTTTTCTCCCTCAGCCTGGAACCCTAAACCCTAAAGTCCCTAAAGCGCAGTCTTGGGTTTGGCCAATGACTTGTGCTTTGTTGTCGAAGCCAGGAGCTAGAGCTCTCCAACACTACGTCGAATCAGAGCAGCATGCAACCGGAATCGACCAGGAGCCCCAGGAGCCCACGTGTATTTCAGCAGTCTGAGATGTCCAACCAGAGCAGAGTGTCAGCGTCAGAACCGATCAAGGTCCCGCGTTTATTTCAGCAGTCTGAGATGTCCACCCAGAGCAGATTGTCAGCATCGGAACCGATAAAGAGCCCACGCTTGCCACAGCTGTCTGAGACTTCGTCGAAGCAGAGCACGTTCAGGAGCCCGCGTTTGCTAGAACTGTCTGAGACTTCGTCGAGGCACAGCAGCCAACAACCGGCAGAACCGAAGTCCAGCCCACGTTTGCTGGATCCCTCCATGAGCACTGGGTCTGGTTCTTCTCTTCGAGATGTCATGGGTCAGGCTCTCTCAGAATATACATCCTTGACCAAGAGTGAGAGGCACAACAGTCGCAGATATTCCGAAGTGGACATGGCCATGGTGCGAGGGATCTCGTTGCGAAGCTCGCTTCGAGGGCTTGGCCGCTTGTGGCGCTACAAGGCAAGCTGGAAGCCTCAGGAACGGGCGGCGCTTTACGAACTCTCTTCTCCGGCGAAATCTTTCAAGGTCTTTGTTTCGCATACCTGGCAGACTCCTGGCAGGTGGAAGATTCTTGGGCTCAGCCTACAATGTGGCTGGAGGAGCGCTCTTGGCTTCTGGTTCATGGCCGTGTTCGTGTCGTTTGCTTTGTGCGCCGTGGACATCCTCCCCATGCCCTTCAGCTACGCGCCAACGACGACCATCTTCCCCGAAACCTATGCAATGGGTTTCTGGGTTGTGCCGAGTGGTATGATTGCCACGCTAGTGGGTTTAGTAGCAGCTCCTTACTGGCCTGAGAGATGCGGCTCAGACACCAGCTTCATCGACGTGGCAAGCATCCACCAGGCACGCTTAGAAACATGAAAGTAGGCCAGGCCCATCGCACAAGACACAGGACGGAGTGCCCTTCGTTTAGTTTCACGTTCCTCGCCTTTCCCCCCTCCCCGTCGCCTCCCTGCAGAGGTTGATCAGAGGCTCATGGAGAAGGGCATCTATGGCATTGCCGGTTTTCTGAGGATTTCCCAAGAGCTTCGAATTCTCTTCTCCGGGCCATACTTTTCCAGGCTCGGCTCAGTCCAAAGGAGAGGCTTGTAGAGTATACCTGCAAGCTGACGAGGGGGAGTCGAGAGCTCTCGAGTAAGGGCATGGGCCGAAAATGAGTTTGTGGCTTCAAGACGTGGGCTCGGATCCTTGAAGGATTCAGGGCATGTGGGGTCGCCTGTAGCGTTCGCAACCGTCTGTTTTGCAGGCTGTGGTGCGTCTTTGAGGTGGCTGCCTATAAGAAGCTCAATCCTCAAGGCACGATCAAGTTCAGACCGCTTTTTGTAGAAGCAGTCGTCGTTGGGCTGATGCTGTCGGCATACTGCTTCTGCTTTATCTTCATGACGTGGCGGATCCTGGATGCAGACGGGCTTGAAGCTGACGCCTGGGTGTTCGCAGCGTTTGCTTCTTGGTTTGTCCCACTGGGCATTGCCACCTACGGGCTCAGAATCATCTTCCGAGAGAAGTATCGTCTCCTCTCAGAGCTCGAGGCACGTCCTGAGCATTTGGGCTACCAAACATAATAAGAAAAAGCGGATGCGCTCGCGAAGCCAAGCGAACCTGTAGAGGACGAGACCTGCCTGAGCCCCCGTACTCCCTTTCTCAAGCTGCAGGACTTTGATCTGGACTATGTGCATTGTTCCAAGCAGTTTGACCGAGCCGGGGCTTTTTTTTACGAGCTTCGTAGGTTTGAGTTCCTGGGGGGGGCCTGGGCATCGGTTGCTGATACCTTTTTCAGGTTCTTCGGGGGAGGAAAAGGCCATCTGTTCCTGCTCAGGAGACTTTATCCATGCAGCCATCGTGAAGTGGTATGGAAGCAAGGCAAGTTTCACTACCTATGTCAGGTACGACCTGAAGGATGAACTAGCGACCAGCTTGTTTGCCGCCAGGATTCCGCACGAGTATCTGCTGCTGATTCTGACACCGTTTCTCAGCCTTTGTTTGGAACTGCTCTTGGCAATGTGGAAGAGCGGCGTTCCTCATGAGCAGCTCCTGGCTTTCTTTCTTGCTGCTGTTCTAGGCCTGGACATTTTCTGGATTGGGTCAAGCATCGTGCTTCTGGTTTGTCTGTGCGACTACTTGGCAGTACGGCGCTTTGGTTGTTGTGACCACTTGCAGACATTTGCGATTATCTTGGCAGTGGCCGGTTTGATAGGTGGAGGAACTCAGCTCTGCGTTTATGCGAGTCAGAGTCTAGCTGGCGCTTTGCTGTACCTTGGAGCTACACTGCTGATGGCTCTGTCCGTTTGGTGGCTGGAGGGGAAGTCTTGCAGCTGCCCTACGGGCCGCGCGAGATGACCCCGGATGCTGCGTCCACTGCCCCAAGGAAGCTGTGATGATGGCGCCCTGAATTATTTCTCCGGATCGTCCGGATCATCTGTAGCGGATGTGATAGTGATTTATCTAGCAAGCCAGATGTACATGTCTTCAAAGAAGTCACAAAGCGAACTCGCTTCGTGCATTGTGGTTTGAGCTCCATTTCTTTCATCTCCCCGAGCTTTGGGAGCTCCATGTTGCGCGTCATCGGGCAGTTAGAATCCGGTTCTTGCGTGCAGTTTAAGAGTCTCCTGAGTCTGATCTCTTGAGTGCGGTGCCAGATGCTGGAAAGCATCCCTTGTTCGCTTGCAGCTCTCGGCTTCCCGCGTGTTTCACCCGAGATTTCAGCACCCAGTGCAATGTGTCATCTTTGGCACTAATTCCCGTTTCTCTCAGGTCAGGCCCCTCAAGCTTGCAATCTTGATTTTCAGGCCTGCGACGGAGATGGCAGAAGCCGCACGGTAGAAAAGAAGTCTTCGAAGCATCTTCCCAAGGTATTCCGTTGTAGAACACGCGAGAACGCAGGTCAGCGACCAATCTCGGATTCTTGCATTGCTGCATGTCGGAATGCGTGCGTCAGCCAGGCAGCTGCTTGGGAGGCTGCCCTTCATCTCCTCAAGGCTCTTCGTGCTTTGAATTTTGGGGTGGTGGGATCAATGCTAGTACTTCGCGTACTACGAGTACTACGAGTACTAATTATGAGTACAGCTAGTACATCCAGTACTGCGAGTACTACTAGTATTACGAGTACTCCTAGTGCTAGTAGTACTACGGGAACTACTTAGTAGTACTCGTAACTACTCAGCTTCTACTAGATTACTTCTAGTACTACTCGTACTAGCACTTGCTCACTGCAGTGGTATCCCCACGGTAGCACTTTCCTAGCGCGGTTGTCTCTCCACCATTCGCTTGCTCGTCGCCGGTGGTATCCCCACGGTTCGCGATCAGCTTCTTTGTGGATGCCGCCGGTTGACGGACATGCGCTGTGTTGCGCCGACCAGCCCAAGAAGGTTGCCAAGAGCTCTTCACGGATGCATTCTCGTGCCGTCGTTCGTAATCGTGTTGCTGTTGGTTTGTGTTCTGTTGCGTTGTTGATGCTTTTCGGGCTAGGTGCTTTGAGCTTTCGGGCTGGAGACGTCCGAGGCCGCGGGCTCGTGCCGTGGTCAATCTCTCACCTCACCTCACCGCTAGCCATACTCATACTCATACTACTCATCCTTCTACTGCTGCCACTACTACTACTACTACCAC